CCGTGCCCCGCTCGGGCCGGGGAGGGTCCCTCTCGCACACGCCGGCTCCGACCCGGCTCCCCTGCGGGCGCTCAAAGCCCCGGCCCGGGAGGCGCTGGACGGGCCTCTAAAGCGGGCCTCGGCACCTGCTGTCTGGCTTCCTCAGTCTCCAGGAACCTCGGGTTTCCCGTTTGTAAACGGAGGGTGACAGCAGTGCGGGGCGCACAGGATTATTTGAAGATTAAGTGAGAGAATACAGGTAGCACAGGGGGTCTTGCGCCTGGCTAACCCAGGGCTCAGTCGATGTCACCTGTTAGCAGCAGCAGCAGCTTCTTAGGCCTGCAGTGTTGTTTTGTTTTAAATGTTGAAAGAGATGTGAAGAAATTTCCCCCAAATACGTTGAAATTTTATATTGGGAGTATTTGTTTTTCAAGACACAGCCTCCTTAGATGATGAGAGGTAAAGCGGACTGATTGCAGAGTGTAGGAGCTGGACGAGGCCCTATGGTGCAGAACCGCAATCAGGCCCTCTGCTGGCCTGATAGGAAGCTGGAACTGGAGGGAGGGAGGAACTTGGAGTTGTGTTCTACCTTTTCTAGTTTCTTCCTGAGGTACCTGAGAATAGGGTGTAGGACTAACTCATCTTTTCCCCTTTGTCTTTTTATATAGTGGGTGCTCAATAAATCTGTTGCATTAACTGTGAAGGAAATAGTGGAGAAGGAGCCAGATTCATTTGTCCCTATTTTCCCTACACTTCCCTGCTTTTGACCTCCCTCCAGGCAGATGCCTTGTTTTCTACAATGGATGCTTTCTTGAAAAATTGTATAAATTGGGACATGTATTGAACATGCTTGTGTAACTAGTGTTTAAAGGAACACAAATGCTTTTGTAAATGGGATTATCTCCCCCAAACTTATTGTTTTGGATTTGGGCGTTATGAAGTCGTCTGAAAGGGAAGCACATTTGTTCTGTTCCTTCACAGTCCTGGTTTCCCCTAATTGGCACAGTTTCTATTGATGGCCTTGTGCTTCCTATCACAGACTTTGGAGCTACAACTAGTATTATCTGAGATTTGTGTTGTCCAATACAATCACCACTAACCACGTGTGGCTATTTAAAGTAAAGTTAAATAAAACTAAAGAATCGATTTCGTGCCAAGCCGGATGTGGCTCAGCAGTTGAGCATCGACCTAGGATCCGGGGGATCACAGTTTGATTCCCGGTCAGGGCACATGCCTGGGGTTGCCAGCTCTATCCCCAGTCTGGGGTGTGCAGGATGCAGCTGATCAATGATGACTTTATCATTGATGTTTCTTTCTCTCTCTCCCTCCCCCTTCTTCTCTCTGAAATCAATAAAGATATATTTTTAAAAAAATCAGTTTTGCAGTTGAACTTTTTAAAAAAAGTGTTTTTTAAAAAATTTTTTTTAGAGAGAGAGGAGGGGAGAGGGAGAGAAACATTGAATGGTTGCCTCCTGCATGCCCCCTACTGGGTATTGAGCCCACATATGCAACCCCGGCATATTTCTGAATGGTATTGAACCCAGTGATCTTGTGGTGTATGGGGTGAGGCCCAACCAACTGAGCCACACCTGCCAGGGCCCCAGTTGAAGTTTTAAGTACTCAGTAGCTAGTAGCTACTGTATTGGACATCGCAGTTACAGAACATACAAAGGTCAATTGGACAGAGCAATTTAAAAGCTGTCATTCAGACTTTGAAGTTTAACATTTAGATAAGCTATCAGTCAGTGAGAGTGGAAAAACTCCTTTAACTCCAAATAACCTGGCATAATACTTTATATTTTGTAGTGATTTAAGTTGCAAAGAGCTTTCCATATATTATTTCACTCGACTCTTAATAAAATCCTAGGAGGTAGATAAGTGGGAATAAAAATTCCATATTAAGTTGCTGGCAAAACTAGGACTAAAATTCTTGCGGTTTTTGTTTGTTTTTTTGAGCACTATAGTAGTTGGTAATTCTTTAGCCAATGAAGTCATTTGGAAGAGTTCGGGTAGCTATGGAAGTAGAGAGCCCTAGATGGGGGCCCCTTTTCCTGGACCAGCGGTCCCAGGCTACTCTATATGGTGAAATGGTGGGTATCAGCAGCTGTAATGCCCCTGCCTGAACTTCACAGGAACCCCTGACAGCTTTGTTAAAATGTCTGCTGGGGTTGAGCAGAATAAATGGCAGTGAGTAAAGGGTAGCAAGTGAAGAACACAGTTGTTTGTGGTGTTGGCTGATTAGTTGATGATAGAAGATTTGCAATGATCATAATTATTTCCCAGAGCATGGAATCTTTTCCTTCTTGGGAACAGCTTAAAGTTTTTTGCTAGTTCTTAGAATTGAGGGAGAAATCTATAAAGCCCACCAACATTAAGTGTTAATGGTGAATAGATAAGAGTGATTTGGGTAAAGTACGTGTATAATGCTTTAAGGAAAAACAGTTACCACAAACTTTCTCTCCTTTAATTCTCTCAGCAGCTTGGGAAAATCACTGTTATTCCTATCTTACCCATAAGAAAGTAAGTGGCTTCCTCTGGTCATCTAATGAGTCTATGGCAGAACTGGGGCTGGAATCTACATCTGATTCTTACATTCCATATTTTTCAACTACAGAATTACTTTTCCTCTCTCATTTCTGCTTCCTCTCCTGTCCTTTGGTAAACCTATTGGTACCCTTACTCTGCAGTTTTTTTGTGGGGCTGTACACCTCTAATACACAGTAGTTCAGGCTCCTTAGCAACAAAAGGACTGAGACTTGAAAAAAAAAAAATCTGTATTGATTTCAGAGAGAAGAAAGGAGAAGAAGAGATAGAGAGATAGAAACATCAATGATGAGAGAGAGAGTCATTGATCGGCTGCCTCCTGCATGCCCCCGACTGGGGATGGAGGCCACAACCCCTGCATATGCCCTGACTGGGAATCAAACCCTGATCACCTGGATCCCAGGTTGACGCTCAGCCACTGAGCTACGCCCGGCAGGACTGAGACTTTAATAAAAGTTATTAATCAGTGTTTGTTGAGCTCTACTCTGTGCTATGTGTTTTGCATACATTGTTAACCCATTTTTATAGAGTCTGATGTAAAAGAGAGTTTGAATTCCTCTAGAGTGCTCTGGGAGACTAGCAACCCTAAAACCTTTGGCTTGCAGTAGTGAGTACAAATGATGGAATTCTTTCTGTTGTACTCTTACCAGGCGTTTGTGGATGTCGGGTCTCAAGACTGCTCTGCTGGGCTCAGATCCATATTTCCATCTAGCTTCTGGATATTCTCATCTATTTTTTCTATTATTAAATTAAACAGGTCTAAACTCAAACTCATTTCCATCTTCCCCAAAGCTCCTTCTCCTTTGCAAACCCTACCTTAAACTGTACCCCCTAATTGCCAGAGCTGGAAACTTCATTTCTTCCATATCTCTCAATCCATCTTATATTGATGGCCACCAGAACCTTTTAATTCTAACTCCTGAATATGTCGTAAACCAGTGTCTTTAATAACTTACAAAGTGGTCCCCCTGACTCCAGAGTATCTTCATTCTCAGCCATTGTACCTGCAATATCATGAATAATATTCAGAATACTTCTTTTTAAAGCATTAGTTTTTGTGATGAAAAAAAGTTGATGTGCACAGGCCCTTTTGAGGGACTTTCACACATATTTTTGATAATTTTTAATTAATGGAATTCTCTTTTTTCAGTTTTGAAATATTAGGGAGGCCATTATCTGATAGGGGCTTCAGTTGCCTCATTTGTGAAATGAGATAATTGGATTTGATAATTTGCAAGATATTTATAGTTCTGGAATTATTTAATTCTAGGTTTTACTTACATTAAAGTTTTCTTTGCTATGGACTATTACCATCTACTGGCAATAGTGAAAGTTACAACTGATTATTTTAAGCTGAAGGACACATTTTCAGTTGTGAGGTAAAAATTATAATGACCAGTGGTGGAGGGTAAGGATCTGGTTGCTTGTATAATTTCTTTTCCCAAATTCTGTTGTGATGTTTGCGACAAGGGAAAGAAGTTTAAGTCAGCTAGCTGATAGATAATATCCTATAATACAACACATAAGGAGGTATTATATTTATCTTCCCACAGATTCAAACAAACAAATGATATTTTCTAGTCCCTTTGATTTTTGAGCACACAATGTGGGCCAAAATAAGATGTTCAAATACTCAGGAAACAGACTGCTGCCTGTAAGCCCAGTACCTGTCAGACACATGCACAATTGCCTTATTGATGGCAGGATAATTTGCTTTTCTAAAGCTCACCACAACCAGGGTCTAGTCTTTTAGGGACACATTCATAGAGATACTGTTTTTCATAGAGCTTTGTGAGAGCAAAATAGACTTTCATGAGTGATAATGATTGCTAAATGTTTTCACAAGACTGTGACTAATGACCATGACCACCAGGGAGACATGATACATAGAGAAGTACATGTCCTTGGTAGTGACATAGTTGCCGATTTCCTTTAAGGTGGTAGAGCTCTCCTGGTAGATGGACAGATAGACATGCCTTTGATTTGTGGTGTCTTCTTTCCAAAGGAACCTTGGAAAGAAAAGAAACTATTGGGCCCGGCCAGTGTGGTTCAGTGGTTCAGTGTCAACCCATTAACCAAGAGGTCCCTGGTTCGATTCCCAGTTGGGGCACATGCCTGGGTTGCAGGCTCAGTCCCCAGTAGGGGGTGTGCAGAAGGCAGCCAATTGATGTTTCTCTCTATCTCTCTTCCTTTTCCTCTCTCTAAAATCAGTACAAAAAAGGAAAAAAAGAAACTACTGGAAAAGAGCACATTTGCTTGCATGTGCATTTTTATACACACTCAGATACACCCCACCACTATTTCTTTGACCTTACAAGTTTTTTGTTTGTTTGACCTTACAAGTTCTTAGAACAATTTTTTAAAGTATATTTTTGAAATTACTGATAATAAAGGACTGCTTCCTTTTCCAGCTCAGAAGATAAAATAACAGTCCACTTTTTAAACCGCGATGGTGAAATATTAACAACCAAAGGAAAAGTCGGTGACTCTCTGCTAGATGTTGTGATTGAAAATAATCTAGACATTGATGGTTTTGGTGAGTATGGAATATTCCTTAAAATTTATAAGTGAAGCTATTGAATAGGTTTCAACTCTGTCCTTTTGAAGAATTTTAACCTCTAGCATATTAAGTAAATTATTAAAATTCAGGAGGTATTAGTGTTACAGTCTCAGTTTTAAAGAATAAGAGTAACAATGTATTTCTGTCCTTTGTATGCTTTTAGCTCTGTACCCCCGAATCTACTGTTGCCTCGTTGCCTTACTGTGTACCTGTGTTATGCAAAGCCAGGAAATAGCCAGTGGAGTTGGAAGAGAGTAGGTTAGAGATTATAAATGTCATATCACAAGGGTAGTTAAGTAGTTTTAATTTAGTCTTGACAGTTAGCTTACCTTCCTAGGAAGGGTAATTTCTCTCTCTTTTTTTTTTTTTAAAGAGGGAGTGGGGGAGAGAGAGAGAAAGAGAAAGGGAAAGATCTATCGGTTGTCTCCTGCATGTGCGGTGACTGNCTCTTTTTTTTTTTTTTAAAGAGGGAGTGGGGGAGAGAGAGAGAAAGAGAAAGGGAAAGATCTATCGGTTGTCTCCTGCATGTGCGGTGACTGGGAGTTGAACCTGCAACCTGAGTGTGTGTCCTGACTGGGAATGGAACCCGCCACCTTTGATGTATGGGACAATGCTCCAGCCAACTGACCCACACCGGCCAGGGCTACCTACTTCTTATTAAAGAAGAAAGTGTTTTATGGAGAAAGTTTTTATTTCTAGACTTCTGACGATATTTCTTAAGCACTCACACAAAGCCCATGTCCCAGACACTGCCATATTATACAGCTCAAGGATACCCTGAAAAGCACTTGTAAGCTTTGCTCAAGCTCTCTGTCTAGAGTGATGGTTCTTGAACAGGGTTCCCTTGATTATTAGCATCGGTGTCACTTGGGAAATGCAGGTTCTCAGGCCCCACCCCAGATCTCCTAAATCAGAAAGTCTGGGGTAGGGCCCAGCAGTGTGTGTTTTAATAAGCCCTCCATGTGACTTTGATGTGTGTGAAAATTTGAAACAAGTTTGGATTAAGGTCCAAGGAGCATATCTAACTATGCTTCTTGGCACAGTTCACATTGCACTTGTAAGAACCATTTCTACATCAGAGTTCTTTCTCCTTTCTTCTGTCTCCATTTGCCCATGATATGTGAAGTATACCTTACTGTGTTGGTCCTCATCAGTTTCCTTTTTAGAGAGAAAGCCCCTTTCCCTTATTAGATTGTGAGCTCTGAGAAGACTGTTCTAACTCATGTGATTTCACAGAGTATACTTTGTCCAGAGCTGGTACTCAGTTTATTTGCTGAAAATGTAATATTTGTTTTGTCAGTGTCAGGATTAATTATAACAACTACCAGTTGAGGGCATACTACATTCCAGCGTATGTTATCTATGATTGTAAGAGGTAGATTTTTTTTTTTTTTTTAAAAGGTATTTTATTGAATTTTAGAGAGAGGAAGGGAAAGGGAGAGAGAGAGGGAGAAACATCATTAATCGGCTGCCTCCTGCACGCTCCCTACCAGGGATCAAGCCCATAGCCTGGGCATGTGCCTTGACTGGGAATCAAACCAGCAATCTTTTGGTGCATGGCACAATGCCCAACCAACTGAGCCACACTGTCCAGGGCAGGTTTTGTTTTTGACCTCCATTTTATAGATGAAGAAACCAAAGTTCCGAGAAGTTAATGTTCCCTGGGTTGTACTTGTAGCAAATGAGAAGGCTAAGATTCAAACCTAAATCTAATTTTTCCTTTATGCCATTTTCTCTAAGAAGTATCTTTCCTGTGTGAACTGTTATAGAAACTAGGTGATGAATTAGTTGATATAGTACTGATTTTAAGGAGTTTTTAGTCTAATGAAGTGGTTCTTGGCAGGGATTGAGTTAGAATCTGCAGAACTTTTAAAAGTGCAGACATTGCCCTGGCCAGTGTGGCTCAGTGGTTGAGTGCTGACCCATGCACCAAGAGGTCCCGGTTCCATCCCTGGTCAGAGCATATGCCGGGGTTGTGGGCTCCATCCCCAGTAGGGGGCGGTGCAGGGGTCAGCCGATTGATGTTTCTCTCTCATTGATGTTTCTGTCTCTCCCTCTCCCTTCTTCTCTCTCAAAAATCAATAGAAATATTTAAAAATAAATAAAAGTGCAGATATCATTATGTTCCACCCTGGATAGTAGAGTAAGAGAGGGGAGTTTTGCAGCTATGTTTTTAAAATGCTCTACATGATTCAGATACGTACCATGGGTAAGAATTACTTATTTAGATAAAGATCTCGTTGATAATTTATATACAGTATATGTTCTATGAAATTTATGTATAATGGATTTCCCTTGTATGAGTTCATATTTAGCTATACTTTTAATGAAACTTAGTTTCTCTGAATTATTCTTTCACAAATGAAAAGTAGTTCATAGCACAGTAGTGGAGAATAGACTGGAATCAGATAGATTATGGTTCATAATCCTCAACTATAGTAGCTGTAAAAAAGCAAGTGCTTAAAATAAAAATTAGCTATTATTAATCACATAGTTATTAATACAGGCTCACTGTTCATTACAGATTATGGTTCATAAATCAACATTGTCACAAATCATGAGACCTGGAGCAAGCCACTTTAATGTCTTTATGCCTCAGTTTCCTCTTCTGTAAATTAGGCTTATAAGAGTTCTAACCTCCTGGGTTGTTAAAGATTAACTGGGATATTGAAAGTAAAGTGCTTAGCACAGTGCCTGTGGAGTAGCAACAGTAGGATTTGTGGCATTTTAACTTGGCCTGCTCTCACTCTCCTCTCCCCATTTCCAAAAGCCTTAAAAAACTGGCAGCCTCCGAACTACAGTAGCTGTAAAACTAAGTGCTTAAAGTAAACATTAGCTTTTATTATTAATATGGTTACTAATACGGGTTCACTGTTCGTTATAGCAAATTTTAAAAATACAGTAAGAAAGACTTCCTATAATCTCATCACACAGAGATAACGGCTAAAAGAATCTTTATTCCCCTAGTACACCAGAAATATGGAAAATTTAATGCTAACAGTCTTTCAGAGTGTGATAAGAATTGTGCATTCACTTAAGCAGACTTAGCAGAGGCTTTAAAGATCAAGGGCCCTAAGTGTCCAGAATTTTGGCATGTAAATATAGACTTGAGATAAGCTAAACTAGGTTCACAAAAGGTAAGCGTTAATAAGCCTAAGCCACTTTCTAAAGAAGAAAAGAGTAGAATAAAGAAGAAAAGAAATCAAGAAGCCTGAAATGCTATCCTTATAAAGAAGAGATATTGTTAACACGGGGCAGCTATTTCATGAGTTCGTAAAGCCGAATACAGGAGACCCTTTAAATATTGCTCTTGTCGTAAGTCATGCTCACGGATGAACACCATATTCAAATGAGGCTGACCAAGTGCAGAGTCTGTAGTTTCTCCCTGGGTGATCTCATCCCCTCTGTGACCTTAAATCCCATGTAGATGCCCATAAACTCTTAAATTTACATTCTTAGCTCAGACCTCCCCTCTGAGCCTTGGACTACAGGTACAACTTCCTCCTTTATAGCTCTTCTTGGAAGTTGCACAGGTCTTTTAAGTTAACATATTTAAACAGCTTTTGATGTCCCTCTCCGCCACTGAACCTGTCCTTCCTTGAGTCCTTTCTCAGTAATGAGCCCACTCAGCTGCTGAAGCCTGAAACCGGGGGGGGGGGG